AAGAGAACTTGGAGGAATAATGTTTCTAGTAGTATTGATGAAATAGACACAGAAAAGAGGGAGAGAGAGAACAAAAGACAAGACAGAGGCTAGATGTGAGAGATATGTCAACTATCAGATGACAGTGTTTTCTTTTCTTATTTTCTGATAGAAGAATTATTAAATCATGGACAAATTTGGGCCGTTTGGGGGGAAAAACTTAAGGAGTATAAAGCATCAACCAAAACACAGTAGAATTATTTAAGAAGTAGAATTAGTAACTTTGGTGAATGGAGCTAGACCATGTCAAAATCTTTGGAAATGTCAAAAACACTGAAGAGGAATGAATCACTAACATATTCAAGAGTAGAATTTCAGATTTAGGCAAGATTTACCAGTGGAAAGACCACACTGAAAAGTAACCATGGATCAAGGCCAGTACTTCTGAGTAGAGATGCATAAATTGAGGTTTGACAGCAAACTTTCAAACCTTAAAATATAAGAATAGTAGAACAATAGTTTGAAGTGTATTAAGAATTACCTTTCTTCAAGATAAGCTGATTTTCAAGGAGAATAAATGGTGGACTGCAAGAAGGACAAATGAAACTGACTACTGAAGAATAGGGCCAGGTTTTGAGGAAGATTCATTCTAATCTACAATTTTTAACTCAAGTGTCCCTGTGGAAGTAAACCCTTTGACGAAATACATGATTTGTTGAATTAAATTTGTGACTCTTATCCAGAATCTTTAAAACTTCTGTTTTCTTGGAAAAGATACTTTCCAAGAAAAATATACTCAATTTCCTTAATCTTACCTCAGACCTGAAATTTTGAATCCTCAATATCTTATACATCAAAATTAAAATAAATATAACATGGTTATCTAATGCTTGTTAAACCTCCAACAATAAGTTTTAATTAAGGATCCTGATATACTATGATTAGAAACACCAGAATGGATGCAAACCCTTGATAAAGGGTCTGAAGTGTTGCTCCTCTGTATTGTGTCGGGTAGTCCGAGAATTCTAACAGGCATCCAGTGAAATTTTCCATTCTACCTAAAACTCCATGTAGTAATAAATACTAGCAGCCGCCATTACTTTAGGGGAAGATATGTACTACATCTGACATTTAGTGTGATAACTTGGCACAGTTGCTAACACTCTTGCCTTTAGGTCAGACAATTGTGGGTCCAAGCCCTATGTTGAGACTTGAGATCATAATCTGGAGTGACACTCCAGTGCAATGCTGGGGGACACTGCATCGCCAGAGATGCCATCCTTCAGATGTGATGTTGAAATCGAGGACATATCTGCCCGTTCAGGTAGATGTCAAAGATCCAATGACATTATTCACAAAATAAAGGAGTTTCTCTATAAATAATGCAATATAGTATAATTTGGGAGAACGTCTAAATACTTGATATAGCTGGATAGAGACCCAAGCTAAGGGAATGAGAGCTGAAGAGGGTGAGGGGTAAAGATGATCAAAAGCACAGTCAAAGAGTATATGTAATTCATAACTTTATATAATGCTGACCTCTGCACATTTCCTATAAACTATTGAGGATTAATGGCAGACATTTCTCATTTGTGAACCCCAGTCTTTCACATTAAGAAGACAAAAAGGACTTTAAAAGAATCGATTTGAAAGGGCTGTGAAACACCAGAAAAGTTCACTAATCCATTCATTAAAAGCACAACCATTTTATTTATTTTTATTTATATGTTTTGTTGTCTGATGAACATTCATGAAATGATTAGTCCAATCGAATAGTTTTATTTTATGGATAATAAAACATGAGAGGTTCACTGTGACGCACATAATAATCAAGGACTTGCTTCCTCTTAGCAGTCTACTGAAAGTACACCCAATTTTTTTGATGCAATTATTGAATAAAAGCTGTCACTTATTCAGTATGCAGCTTCAGAGCTCTGAAAAAGAACTTACAGAGCACTGAAGTGAGAGAGGTGCTTACTTTGTTGTCATGGTAACTTGGTGATGCATATTTGGTTATGTTTTGTCTGAGTGGTGCTCTTGTGGAGATTGATGTCTTAGTGAGTAGCTGTTTGCACACAAGGAGAACAGAAAGGTTGTTTACTTCTGAAAAGAGGAAAATCCTACCAAAAAAATCCCTGATTCACCAAAAAGGTGACTAAACTTTTGGCATTATGCCTGCAATTATTTTATAGTGTTAGGTGGCAGTTGTTCAAACAATTTCAAAAGAGTTAGTAACATTATTAACATTATATCTAATGGTTTCTAGTAACTGGATTTGGCTCAACTGTAAAGTCTTTGGCCATGAATCCGAGTAACAAACAAATAATAAATTGGATGATGTATGTTGAGAAAAAAAATGACTATTTTCCTCTATATGACAATACACATAGAATATAGGATCAGTATCATGTGAAGGTATAGTTCCAAGATAGCTATCTATACCTGAGCTTGATTTCCACAACTAGGTGGCCTAAAGTAAGATGGAACAAATCTACAAGAGTGAATCTCAAATCATGCTGAATTGTTTGGACTCAGTAATTAACAACAGAAAACTCTTTTTTTTCAATTCAAACAATATCCCTAAATTGTATTATGATTTAATTTGTCACTTAATTTTTATATTAAAAATGCTTATGACCACTGTAAATGGTGCTGAAATGCTAAAACATTAAAAAGCTGGAGAATAATACTTTGGTGACATAATATGGCTTGAAACATCATGGTGGCTTATTTCTTATTCGTTCTGTCACTCTGCATTAGAACACAACAAGCTATTACAGGGAATAAACTCTGTGCTAAAGTGCTCCGAGACACTACTCTATGTAAGGAGTGCTATATATATCAAAGTTGCTGTTAAGAGAGACTTTCTATTAAGAATATCCTGTGAGGAATATGTCTTATGACAGAACTGGAATATTAGCCATTTGAAATATTTTGTGATGGGAACTTTATACACTACTCATTTGCCCACTGACTGTAGTCTCCAGTAGCTGGGTTTTGTTTACTTGTCAAAGGATACCAGAGCCAGCCTGTGCAAAAGCTATAACTTAAAATGTTCGCATTTCAACTCCAGTGGCAGACCTTTGTAAAAGCATTTGTGATTTTGTGTTCAATTGCACAAGCTTTGTCCATTTTATATATGATATATTCCGAAAATGAATTCCAAATCAATATTCAGAAATTAAATGTACGCTTCACTCAACATTTTGCCGTTGTCTACTTCATTATAAAATGTTAGTAATATTGGTGTCTCAGATCAAATGGTGCTAAGGCATTTAATCATAGTTTAACAATTCCCACATGCCAAGTAATGCATTATACATATATAATGTACACATGCATGTAAACACTGTAGGTCTATGAGCACCACCAGCCTGTCAGGATCCAGATGCCTGAAGACTTGGTGACCCAGAGTTGAACACTGAGGAAGGAGCCTGGGGGTCTTCATAATGGTCAGTGTTTACACATTTAAAGTACAAAGGAGCATTGTGAGAGTCTTCAAAATAATTCCACTATTAGTACAGAAAACTTCCCAATGGTAAGGAAAATGATGACATCATTCTGTTTGAACTGTCTGGTCACCATGCCTACCTCCAGAGTTGAGGCCTAAATGTCTTCCAAAATGAGGTGATGGCTATATTGATGTGAGGTTTGATACTGCATAATTGCTGCTGCTAAACTAAAGTGTCATCATTTCATGTCCACAGATTATTGGGTTTGTTTTAATGTAACACGGAAATGGGTTTGTCCAGCCTAGGAGGTTGGTTCTTGGTGAATATTGCCTTGAAACACAAAACTGATCCTGACTCACAGTTTAATAATACAGTGAGTGCTTAGTTATACAGTATGAAGCAACTCAGGATTCACATTGGTGCTACAGAACTTTAAAATGTAGACAGGTTCACAAACAGAGATGTATGAGTAATCAGGTTTAAAGATCACATTGGTATACTTCAGGTTGAAAAGCCAAAACACTTGACTAGAATTCATAGTAACAGTCATTCATTTCTGTGCATGTTACTTACTGTTGCACTGTACTTTCTTGGTAACCTTATCGCTGCTGCTCTTATAAATAATGAATGTATTATTGTTAATGATGTAATATTGGTTGGTAATGATTTTTAATGCTGCTTTAGAATCTTTTTTTCTGTCTGTCTTGTTAAAATAAAAGAAAGTAAATTATCCATCAGGTCATTTAAGGAAACATTAAAATAAAAGATTTGATAAATTAAACAATCTCTCTTTTGCTTTCCACTTCGATCGGTCAAACATTCCGACTTCATCATTTAGACCCGTGGAGTTGTCCGGTTGTATTCATTGGTAACATTACTTATAATTAGGCTCAGATGAGATTTGTCCAAATTCCATGTTTCTTTCCAGCATAGTTATATTCGTTTAGATTTGATACTATTTTGCGTTTATTTGCTTCTTTGGGCAAATAAAACCACCGCGCAACTTGACGGTTCAAATTGTAAGGTTAATCCAAATATTGCACTGCTCTATATCAAACGTTAGTGTATTAAATTCTGCCTGGTTCACGTTAAGCTTTCCCCTCTCGCCTTGATGCAGGCGATGGAAACTCCACTGCAAGTTCCACTTAAGTCTGTTGCAGCAGAACACCAGTCAGCATTGCTCCAAAGACATAACTTTCCGTCTCCCCAAAGAAACCAACGACGGGAAACGTTTTCTTTCGAAACTGCAACTTTTCCAAACCTGCCAACAGCGTCAGAGGTCTCATCTACTTTACCGATTGTTGTGTATTAGTTTCTAAACACCGTCCCCTTTTCTCCCAAAGAGAATCTCTTTTTTTTTTCTCACACAGCTGAAGGGGTTGAGGGACGTTACCTTCTGGCCTGTGCAAGTCATTTGATTGGCAAAAAAAAAAGGGGGGGATTTTTGGATAAGATTCTGATTTGATTTTTTTTCCATTTGAACTCTGCTCGTGCTGACTTGGGCAGTCATCCCTATTTCTCTCGCCAGAGCTGACAAGGGTCTGACTGTTAGTGATACCTTCCAGGGCTAAATTTACCCCAGAGTGACAGGGGCAGGTGGGCGCAGGGCGGCTCGCCACTTGTGCGAAGCATCACGCAACCATAGGTCAAAATCGATAAGGGAAAAAGGACCCACTCCTCGGCGAGGAAACAGATCGAAGCAAGCTCAGCCCGAAGAGGGGGCTTTCTCTTCAAAGCCAGCTGGTCTGGCTTTTTTCTTCAGGATTTTTTTTTTTTTTACCTGTCATCCGTTTGATCATCCGAACCCTCAGCAGGTGCTGCAGGGCGTAGATACTGGGGAAGAGGACGCTGGTGAGTTTTTGATCCCAAAACTGTCACACACACACACACACACACACAAAAAACCTCTAGACTCCATTGCACTGTTTGCAATGTGCAAACTTTACAAGCAGAACAAAGTTAGATAATGTGCCTTTAATCGTCATTCTGACTTAACAGCCGAAGAGCGGCTCAGGTTTAAGGGGAGAGTAATTGTGCGTTAACGTAGTACAAACGCAGAAGTGGGCGCTGCTGTTGGAGAGGCGGTGTGTGCAGAGGCAAGTTTTAAATTTCACTAAAAAAATGGTTAGCGAATGCGCCTTAAACAACACGAGCAAATGCTTCATTGAAGGTAAAATTGTGGCTGGTTTTTAAACGTGCGTTGCTTTGATTTAATGGCACATTGGTTTTCCCAGAAGTAATTCTAGGATTTCTAATAAACCTTTTTCAACCCCTTTTGTGCTTGTTTGAAAACGTCGGACATTTCGTGCGAGTTGTTGATAAAGTGGAGTTCAGAGCAGCTTCTGAAACGTCTGCCAACATTTGTTTTAATAATGCGTGGAAACAAGGTATAAAGCTACTTGAGAGACTGTGTGACGTTTAATAAGCAGCAAAGTGGTCGTCAAAAAAAGTTGAAACTTTTGAGGGAAATCAGAAAATATTGAACTATCCCTCTGTCTCTCTCTGTCTCTCTCTCTCTCTCTCTGGCAGTACACATTCACTGACTGGATTAACTCTAATAAAATGTGTTGCTGAAGAGAGGGAAAGTGCCGGACACAAATATCTCTATTTTTGGTATCACAGCAATCACAACAACAAAAAAAATGTAACTATAAATATAACTTCTTATATAACTGAAGACTTTCAGTTTGAACAGTTAACTATGCCACTAAGCTGTGACAGATGTAAGGAGTCGAAGTGGCAAGAGACTGATATTGGGCTGTGATCTGAGTACATTCGCCAGCTGGTTGCAGTATCAGAGATGGCACAGACTGAAGATTAAAAAAAATCTGCATTTTTTTTTATTTACCAAAGGATCTTGTTTTACGGGTGTCGAGGTTAATTTCTCCGAAGGAAAACAGTTATTTTCGTCGCCAGTGACAGATTTCTGCCAAACGGGTCCACACCTGACTATAAAAGGCTGGTTAACTCAATCTTGACTTTGACATGCAATATTTACAGCTGTTCTCGAGGTCACACTGTTGATGCAGGCGAGGCTGCAGGGACCCCGACACCACAGCTTCCCAGCAAATAAAAAAACGAGCATGATCAGCTCAGTATTTCGCAGCCCTGGGGGTCGTGGGTGCTTTGTGATTAAACTTTAGAAAACTCCAACCCAGGTTATAGTTTACACGGTATGACTTGTTTGAGTGTGTGCGGCTGTCCAAACGCATGTCGGTTCAGCAATTGGTCTGAGAGTCGATAACCCTGCACAAGGTACAGAGTAACTCATCGAACTGAAGAAAGAAAGGGGTAGAGCTTTAGTACTGACTGCAACCCCCCCCCCCCCCCTCCCCATCCCCACCCCCTTCAAACGAATCAACTAAGTTGTGATCCCTCTGAGGAACTCGCACACATATAGTGCTGTGTGTAAAAACCGTTTCAGTCTGTCTCGTTTGATCTCAATCTGGCAACATTTGCATCTGTGAATTTAACAAGAACTTCAAATTAAAAGCTGAAAGCGAAAATCAGTTCTGTCCAAAAGTGGTCGCGAGAGTTTGCTGCCTTTCCTTGAAGACAATCAGAATTGCTCATAGAAAAACTTTGTGATTTCGATAGGAAGGTCAGTCCAACAGATGTTTAGTTGTTCGGTTACTATTTTCTGCTCTTTCTTTCCGTGGATTACTTAGGAACAGGCAAAAAAAAAAATGGATGCAATCTAACAAGTTAGCCTGAGGCTGGTTACAAAAATAGCCAAATTACTATTCAAGTCAACCGAGTGGTGAAGCAGTGGTAAGGGCAAGAGCTAACAGTGGGAATGGACACGTTACCCAAAGTAGCCATAAATTCTGTTCACTGCCCACACTTTACTTCAAGTCAGATAGTTAACATAAGCAAATTCTTCACACTTAATAAATAAGCGATTTGTTAATGTGTATTTTGTTGCGGTGTTGTTAGAATGAGTAGAAACAATGCCTAACGGTGTTGTAAGACACAGCTTCGAGGTCGGCAGGAACACGTTATTGAACTCAGAAGCCAAATTAGGCCAAATTGAAGCTGTTGAATGCCCGAAATATAATACAGCTTCTCTGAAGAATTATTTTGTTCACACACAAAGCACGAAACCACCACTTTGATGTTTGCTTGTGCTCACTTGGAGGTCTGGGTATAGATTAATACCCTCCACACCTTTCTAACCAATAGACCTAAAGCAGCACAGTATAGACATTTCTCTATTGCAGATGTATTTGGTGTCTATCTGTCCAGCTCCACCTCGTGTTATCACATTACACGTTACCGATATAAGAGATATAAAGTCAGAGACCTTAACCGGTCAAGATGTAGTGTGGAATCAAGGCACCTTATAATCCATCGATAATCCATATACTACTATAAGAGTGCCCCCGTCCCCCTTTATACTTTCTTTAGCACTCGGTTTAGTACTGGAGATCCGGAAAGTGGAAGAATGTACAAGATTTCTCATAGGCCTGATATTTAAAGATACAATGTGACCCCTCCTTCACCCGCCCCGACCGAGGCAGTGCAACTGCCAAAAGGAAAATCAACCCTTTTTTTTTACTAAGAAATGACATGTTGGGAAATCCTGCACACAGGTCCTTGTGCAGCTAAAACAAGGGGCAAACCATCAACTTGTTAGACTTCTACTGATCATGACCACTGCTGCAGCAGCTATATAAGTATTCAAAGAAAGTAATCGTCGACTTTTGCCTTTTCTCTCTCTCCGTATTATGTAGCTATTTCCTACAGCAACAATTAGCACCTCAGTTGCTCACTGAGGTCCATAATGATATGGGCGATTACTATGGAGAGCTTAGGTTTCAGAATGGAAGTCGAGTTGCGTGGGAGACGTTGGTCGCGGCTGAAACCTTTTTGTTTACAATGCACTGTCTGATAAAGATGTACATTATCTCCTTACTGTCTGATAGCGGGTTTCTATATGGGGAGTTCCTACGTCCTTAATTCTTTTTTTTTTGGGGGGGGTTGGAGTGGGGCGGTTTAGTTTCATTAGGCCTCATTTTAAATTGATGTTAATAAGACAACTTTGCAAGTGTAAACAACCTTCTTCAAGATACGCACGCGGGAGTCGGACCGTGTAACGAAGCAGTAATGCTCGGCTGATGCAGTCACATTGAAGAGGAAAGCCGGAGCTCCACTATCCTATCACTGCAGTCAGAAATCCAATGACCTTCGCGATTCCATCTTTCATTCATAAGGACAATGGGAAGATAACTACTGGGGGAGGACAAGCCGAGCCCAATGCAAGTCTTTTTTTTAAAAAAAATTGCAAGTGGTTTGACACAGACACAGACACACACACACAGACTGACACACACACACACACACACACACAGGCACAAGGTGTGCGCAGTTACAGATCTTGCAAGACCGCAGACGGGGGGACGGGTCTCGTCGGGCAAAGTGTGTGAAAAGCCGACGGTGTAAGTTTTCTCCAGTGTGCGGGTTAGCGGAAAGTAACAGTTTGCCCGCAGATTGATCTGGGCTGACGTGTTCAGCGAAATCGCCGCTATCCTCACAAGCGGCTTGTTTTGCCGGGGCGGGGGGGGGGGGGCGGGGGGGGGGGGGGGCGGTGTCGGGGGCTCTGCTCTGCCCCCGGTCCCGTCCTGACTTTGCTGCACGAGTTGGTGATTGACAGCTCGGAGCTGACAGCTCCTGCCGTGACGTCAATGTGTCACGGGGAGGGAGGCTGTGACCGGGAGAGAGGGAACGAGAGGGGGAGGGGGAGAAAGAGAGGGGAGAGGGAGGGGGAGAAAGAGAGAGGGAGGGGGAGAAAGAGAGGGAGAGAGAGAAGGGGGGGGAGGAAAGCAAAGGACGTGTCTCTGCACTTATTTACAAAACGAGAGAAATAATAATACTAATACTAATAATAAATGGCTGGTTTTGCTCTAAACGCGTCTAAAGGTGCAGTTCCTCTGTCAGATTTGCTATTATTATTATTTTTTTGGGGGGGGTGGTTCGTGGAGAGGGGAGTGGGGGGGGGGGTCGTGGAGAGAGGAGGGGAAGACAAAAAAACTTCCAAGGGAGGGAGGGTTTTGTGCATTTGGAGTATCACTTTGATTGGTTTGCTGGAGCAGCCGAAACCTTGCCAACAACATCCTGCTTTGCGAGCAAACTCTCTCTCTCTCTCTGTCTGTCTGTCTGTCTGTGTCTCTCTCTGTCTGACTCTCTCTCTCTCTCTCTCTCTCTGTCTGTCTCTGTCTGACTCTCTCCTCTCTCTCTCTCTGTCTCACAAACCTGTTCTTCCCCCTTCGACAATAAGGACAGAGACAAAGAGAGTGAAAGCCATCAACTCGCAACTCGCGTGTGTTTATTCACACGGATATCACACGACAATGCAGAAAATAAATAGCTTCTCTCATCGACGGTCCAGTCCCAGTCCCAGTCCAGTCCCAGCCCCGCTGTGTCCAGTCTCCCTGTCCCCCCCCCCAACACTCTCCCCCTCTCCCCGGGGGCGGGGGGCGGGGGGGGAGGGGCTGGCGGATGCATACACACACACACACACACACACAGCGAGCCGGCGGAACTCTTTGTTAGCAAAGCGCGCGGAGGGTTTCACGGGGAAGGGTGAGAGGCGATGGAGTGAGTGAGTGAGTGGGCGAGTGGGCGCTGAGGCGGAAGCGCGGCGCGTGCGCGTGCGCGTGCTCGCCGCCCCCCCCCGGGTGGGTGGGGTGGGGGGGAGTGGGTAACCGTGCGCGCGCTCCGGGCTACGTTCCATTCGGTCCCGTTCCCAGCGCGAGCCTCAGTCCCTCCTCCTCCCCTCCTCCTGCTCCTCCTCCTCCCCTCCTCCTCCTGCTGCTGCTGCTGCTCCCACCACCACCGCTGCTGTTGCTGCTGCTCCGCTAAATATAGAAGCACATACACACACACACAGAGGGAGACTGACTGACTGACTGACTGACTGACTGACTTGACTAAACCGACCGGGGCTCACTCACTGCGAAATGGCTCTATCTATACCTCTCTCCGTGTCAGCTTTTTAAATTTACTGACCGCCGCTTTGCTCTCTCTCTCTTTTTTTTGAAAAAAAAAGCAAAATATTTTTTTTTTGAAATTACTGTGTACACATCTCAGCCGATTCTTCCCTCATCACATCACTGGTCAGTAAATATAGAAACTTATTTTTCTTGTTTTCTTTCCTCTCTCTCTCTCTCTCTCCCTCTCCCCCCCCCCACCCCCCACCCCTCAACTCCTCCTCTCCCCCAAAACAACAAATGCAGTTTTAATGACTTCACATCAATGATGCTTTAATGCTCTATGGAAAACAAACTACCGCCTGTGCAAGTTAGCATGTTGCAAAGTGTCTTTCCTTTTATTTTAACTCTCAAACTTAACGTTGTATAAACCCGAGGAGGAAATTAAATGTTAATGCCCGCTGTCATTGTGTCAGCCGTGGGTTTGTTTAATCTTTAATGTTCACATGGTCTGCAAACGTGTTGTTGTGGTGGCGAATGATGACGACCTTTGCCGGCTGATCTGTTTGTAACATGGTCGATGTTCTGCTCTCCCCTTAATCCAGGGTGTCAAAAGAAGTTGGAGCCTTTAAAGTAACTTTAAATCGCCTTCAAGGGGGGAAACGTCGAGGTCGAGAACGCAGCGTTTACAAGGTTTGTGCGGTAAGTGATTTTTTCAATTTATTTATTGAGCGTCTACTTTTTTTTGTCTGTTTCCAGGTTCTGTTTTGACATGTGCGGTCTGTGTGGAAGTATAGAAATCACACGGTGGTTAAAATAATGTTTCTGTGCATTAAACCTACAGATGCCGAGTTTATAATAATTCACGCAGGGAAGGGGCAATGACTCTCACTTTTAATGCATCGTTTTTCTGACTTACACAGTAATACCCGCTGTTGCATGTTCCAGTTTGTGATTGATTTTGAGAGGAATTTCTGCACATCGTGGGTGAGAGTGCCAGTAATCGTCTGCATTAGAAGTGGCACACTTAGAAAATTAGGGGTGATGGTGGTGGTGGTGGGGGGGGGGTTAGCATTTAATTTAATTCAGAATCTAATCGTGTCATTTTTCAGTATTAGCATTTGCTCGTATGCATTAGTGAGGGCGATGGGACTGCACCGGCAGTACTTTAATATAGTTTTACATTCAGCTGACAGTTTATAACGCCGGGTCATTTTGCACACAGTGCTGTGGAGACTCCCCATGCTTTGAGAGAAAGAAGGGTGAATTTCATCCTGCATGTCATCTTGTGCAAAGGGGACGTTGCTTGAATTATGCCGTGTCCGTGGCTGGGGCTGTTTTATTTGCCATTTCCTCAACTTAGCATCACGACCAGCCCTGCTTTATCTGCACAGTAGTGATTTGCACTTCCTGTGTTGATGCTGTCCGGAGGAGCCGAACTCCACGCACACTGTAAGAGACGCCTTGCTTTAATTTCCAAGGAGTCGTTGGGTTATAACAGGATTGCTGTGAAAAAAAAATGGCCCGAGAGTCCTGGCGCAGTAGGAAATGTTCAGACAGCGGAATGTGTAGAGCAGCTGCCCAGGTCACACTGCTGCGCAATATACAGAGAGCCCGAGCAAAGCCACACTCTGGTCTCTGAGCGCATCCACATTTTACCAACCCATCAGCGCGCACAGGACCGCATATGCACTCTCTCTTTTATCTGACTTCATTCTCACAATCATCACTGTTTGGTTCGCCTTTATGTTCCGAAGTCACTCTTTCCGACCCGGGGGCAGGTTCCTGCCAATTGACTTGCGGATTTATATTTTTTTTCACTGAAGTCTTTTATGGCTCTAGGAGGTTGCATCGCCGGTTAAATCTGTCTTCTTTTACGATTCAACTCCCCCCCCCCACTCCCCCCCCCCCCATCCTCTCTCTTGATCTCTGCTTCCAATTGCAAACATTCACAGAATTTGGAGCCATTTGTTACATGAAGCCACGGCAACATGTACGCAACGGACTGAACTCACAGAGTGGATCAAACGGAGCAAGTGACTTGGCTCTGTTTCGTGACAGGATCAGCACAGTAACGAAAACAAATTCGCCTTTCGCTAAAATCAAGCACAGATTACGTAGAGTTCAGTAACGTTTCCCCCAAAGCCCAAGAGGGATAGGAAATCCATAGTTTATAATAGCATTGGCTCTTGCTCTCTTCTCTCTCCAGAAGTTTGTTTCTCGCCCTGTGCATTATCCATTGCACCACAGTTTGCCAAAAAGAAGACGAGATAATGCTCAAAAACATCAATGGTAACTCACCCCTCACGTTGAGACTGAGACGGTGAACAGGTACCTGGGTGGGATAATAGAATAAATGCAAATCGAAGTGCCATAATCTTTCTATAATAAAAGCTAAAGCGATGGAGAGTAATTGAGCATATTTATTCCAACACGAGGGCCAGTACTGGGTTAATCGGTGCTGCAGATACATTCATATATTTCTGGTTGGTGTCACAGTATTTGCTTTAGCGAAATACTGAAGATGAGATCCCGCCCCTTTTTGAGAGTGAAACTGATAATCCCTATGAGTCTTTTAGGATTGTGGGAGCTGACTGATGGTCTGCCCTGCCCTCCCCTCCCCTCCCTGCTGCACAGTGCCTTGAAGTCATTCCCAGTGATTTTCATCAACAGTGAATAGATGAGAGGTCAGGTTTTCACCAGCGGAGTCCACTGGCAGCGATCAGAGAGCTCTGGTGGTGGATTAACAAGTTGAGATCTCGCTCTTGAGGTTTGAACAGGTCCAGACCAAGGAGGAAAAACTTGCAGGCAAGACTCAATCACTGCCACACACCTTCGTTTTGCAGAAACTACACCCCCAACCCCACCCCCACCACCACCCACCCCCACCGCAAGGAAGATTTAGAAGTGAGTACATTTCAGGCCTCCAGTGCAGATGCGTGCAATGTAAATGTCCGGGGTTGCAGTTGAGTTTATGCAGTACTTTATGGGTTGCCAGTTGGCCAGAAATCTGAACTTGCCCCGTGTCCTACTGAGGACATGGACACCCACCCGGGGGACCAGCTGTCACTGGTCCGTGCGCTCCGTGTTTGAGCGCTGGGAGAGGGGGAGAGGGAGAGGGGGAGAGGGGGAGAGAGGGGGAGAGGGGGAGAGGGGAGAGGGAGAGGGGGGGAGAGAGAGAGGGGGGGAGAGAGGGGGAGGGGGAGAGGGGGAGAGAGGGAGAGGGAGAGAGGGAGAGGGGGAGAGGGGGAGAGAGGGAGAGGGGGAGAGAGGGAGAGGGGGAGAGAGGGAGAGGGAGAGGGGGAGAGAGGGAGAGGGGGAGAGAGGGAGAGGGGGAGAGGGGGAGAGAGGGAGAGGGAGAGGGAGAAAGGGAGAGGGGGAGAGAGGGGGAGAGGGAGAGGGAGGGTCGCGTTGTTTGTGAAATGAAACCTGTTACTTTGTGGTGTCCGATGTGGGATGTTGTTGATTACAACCAAATGTTGTGACCTTGTAATGTGTTCTCCGCGTTCCTATCTGAAGCCCAACTTAAAATGAGCAAATCATTGGCGCTTTGTAGCAAAAACACATGGAGATTTTGTTTTCTTTTGGCAAACGTAACATACACACACGTAGCCTTGCAATAGTTCCTTTTTTTTTATTAAAAACCAAAAAACTTTTAACTCTCTGCTCACCTCATTGACTTGCAAATGGCTTGCAGGACACTCCAGAGAAACTTTAAAATGTACACTGTAAATGCTTGTCAAGTGGGAGCCTATATATGTGTGTGTATATATATATATATATATTTTAAAGTCGGATCGCTTTAGAATAATATGCTTCACACTCAAGTGAACACAATCGCGATATCTAAATGCTCACTGGAGAGAAGTCAGACTGTGGGCGCAACGCCAACCTTTGGCACCGACATATAATTTGACGAGGTGAGGTGGAGCGTTTTGTCATTGCAAACTTGAGGAAAGATTCATTGCCGCCGATTTTGGTTTTGAGGTTACTTCCATTTCCTGATGCCTTTGAATGAGAGCAGAGGTGGGCAGGAGCTCTGCCAGCCCTGCCCAGCCCTGCCCTGCCAGCCCTGCCTGCCCTGCCAGCCTGCCCAGCCCAGCCCTGCCAGCCCTGCCAGCCCTGCCAGCCCTGCCCAGCCCTGCCAGCCCTGCCTGCCCTGCCAGCCCTGCCTGCCCTGCCCAGCCCTGCCTGCCCTGCCAGCCTGCCCTGCCCAGCCCTGCCTGCCCTGCCCAGCCCTGCCTGCCAGCCTGCCCAGCCCTGCCTGCCTGCCCTGCCAGTCCTGCCGCCTGCCCTGCCAGCCTGCCGGCCTGCCTGTCCTGCCCTGCCAGCCTGGCCTGCCCTGCCAGCCCTGCCAGCCTGCCCTGCCCGCCTGCCCTGCCAGCCTGCCCTGCCCTGCCAGCCCTGCCGGCCTGCCCTGTCCTGCCCTGCCAGCCTGGCCTGCCCTGCCAGCCTGCCCTGCCAGCCTGCCCTGCCCTGCCAGTCCTGCTAGCCTGCCCTGCCAGCCCTGCCAGCCTGCCCTGCCCTGCCAGCCCCGCCAGACTGCCCTGCCCTGCCAGCTCTGCCTGCCTGGGAAATAAGTACTGTCGCTTTCACTGGCACCGTCTGTGGTTGTGTTGCTGATGCACAGGAAAGATGTTCACGTGGAGCACAGTGGATGATAACCCCCGGTGGGTTGGCAGGAATGTCACCAACAGTTTCCACCTATACATTTGTCCCACGCGATTTGTTTTCGAAAACCGTAGACCCTTTCATTAATTACAGCCGCCCCCCCCCCCCCCCTTTTTGTTTCTTGAAGATGCTGCAATGTAATGCATCTTATATTTTAGGCTGCACTTTTCCTCAGGTGCACTGCACAGTGTTACTACTTCTTTGTTCTCATGTTAGTTTGCATTCACACTATTTTTAGTTTTCACTCACACGATGATGATTTTTATTAAGTCACCTACAATTTTCTTTTAAAAAAAATGCAGAGGTCTGCATTTCTGTTCGCTTTGCACTGGATAGACACATTTTATTCAATTTCTACCTGGCGTGCAAAATGAAGCAATGTTCGGGATTGGAAATAATGTACATTGGAATGCACAAGGTTACATAACAGCCACATGATAGAGAGCATGTCTGTTTTGACTCACAGAAAGTCCTTTGTTTCTTTTAAGCTTGAACAAAAACACACATTTAGCACATGCTGGAAGTGACAACATTACAAAGTAAATACGAAAGTATGATATGTTGGAATTTAGTAAATAAAAGAAAATTACAAGAGGCTATATCATAAAAGCAGAATAGTGTACTTGTTTTCACATTGCCATAGCCTTTTGCTGTCAAGCATGAACTGGTTAAGTACTATGCACAATAATATTTCCCTCCATGAGAAGCCAGTGATGTCCATTTAAAACAGTGGTGTTAAATTTTGAATACATTTAGTTTAAGTATTTTCGCATTATATTACAATTGTAGTACAATCATTGAAAAATTGGTTTCAAAGTTATAAATGGGACTCCCAATTTTTACAAATATTGACATTTTGTAGAATTAAGATAACATCCCCGGGGATGCTGTTGTTGTTTGGTCAGCACAAATGTGTGACTGGCACAGGCCCTAATTACTGAAAAGGTTGATGAAAAGTTGATACCGTTGGTGTGATGTGACTTAATCATTTAGAACGAGAGCTCATAGCACAGTACTGCAAAATGCACAAG